GGCTGTGCCCCCTCCCCAGGCTGAGCCCCAGCTGCTGCCAGGCCCTGGAATTCTGCCCAAGCCACAAACCCCCACCAGCTGGGTCCATTCTGCTGCTCTCCAGGACAAGGAGGGGACCCCCACCCGTGGGGGCATCACACCCACGGGGACAGGGTCTCCTGGAGCTCACTGCCCATCTGCTTCCCTGGGATGAGGTGGCCTTTAACCTCCTCACTCCAGGAACAGCTGGGAAACACCTACCAGGTGGGTGGGGAACACCTGGGGCTACTGGGAAGGAGAAATGAAACACAGGGAGAGCCCAGGAGGGAGAGGAGCTGCCTGCAAAGAGCCATGGTGAGATTTCTCCTCAGCAGCCCCTGCAGAGGCTCCACTCACCAACACTTTGGGTTGTACATCCAGGGCCAGCACTGGTTTGAACTTCCAGAGCCAGAGATTGGCTGTAGGGAGGGTGGCAGAGCCCTACGGGGGGGTTGGGGTTCCAGGAGGGATGCTGCCAGCTGTGAGCCTGCCCACAGACAGCACCTGGAACAAATCATCCCCCAAGCACTTCAGAAACCAGAGACTCCAGCCCAAAGAAGAGTCACCAGCATCTGCAGCCTCCCAGCCATGGAATCACTGCCCAGGAAAGCTCCTCTCTGCCTTCTCTCCCCCCACCCCAAGATCCACCAGGGACCCCTCCCCAGGCACAGCAGAAGTGAAGCAGAAGTGCCCTGGACCTCAAAGCCCCCGTGTCAAGGGGTCTTTCCCCCCCATCCCCTTTTCATGTGCAGACCCAAAGCAGAGAGCTGAGCTCTGGGCCATGCCAAGCACACCAAGGCAGAAAAGCAGCTTCTCCTCCTCCAGAAACTTGGCACAAATAAAGCATCGGATAAACACCTGGAATCTGTCCCAGCTACACAGTTGTTCCTCTTTTCCTTCCTGTCCCTCCTCCCCCCCCAAACTTGGAAGATGACTTTATGAAGACAGTGGGCAGCTCCCAGCTGGAGCAGAGAGCAGTGCCAGGAGCAGCTCCCTGCCTCCTTGGGGAGCCCAGAGCCACTCACTCACTTTTTCCAAGCCAGGAGTCAGTCCTGAGGTACCAGGCTGCTCACTCTGCACAGAAAGGGAGGGATTTAACAGCGAGAAATCTGCCAGGAAGGTTCTTCAGGTCCACATTCCAGGTGCCCCAGCTCCTGTTCTGAGTTGCTGTGCCCCGGTAACACCAGTGCCAGGTCTAGGTGAGCTGGGCAGGGCAGCTGCTGAGCAGAACCGCTTGTCCTGACTCAGGGAAGAGGAATGTGAGCCCAAGATCCCCCGGGACACCAAAGCTCCGGGTGTGGTTTCTCTGCAGGGAAAGTCACGCGAGTGCAGCAGCTGGAGGGAGGGGGGACCCCGCCGAGACACCTACCCATGAGATTTTTGGCAGCCTTGTTTTTAGCCTTTAACCCCCCCTTTTTTTTTGAGAAGGAAGAAACGCAGCCCAGGGAGGGGGGTTGGGGGTTTCCCTGTGCTGCGGGGCAGCCCGGACTCCAGCACCTCCCTGAGGAGGGGGCACAGAGGATGCTGCACGACAGCCCAGGCTGCCCCTCCTGGGCAGGGCACGAGGGGCTGCGGGGCACGGAGCCCACCGGCTGCCTGCCAGCCCGTCTGCACAGCGGGAAACTCAAAGAACAAGAGGTTTGTGCAGCGCTGGGGGTGCGGGCAGGACCGGCCCCTGCTCCAACATCAGCACCAACTCCGGCAAACCCATCGCCCCCAGGGGAAAGTCCAGCCTCAGGTCTCGTCTAAATGCCCTCAAGGGAGATGAGCAGAACAACCTCGTAGCCCAGACGGGCAGAGAAGGAGCCTCTTGCCCAGGAAACTGCTCCTCCTCCCCGCCTGCCCAGCAGCAGAGCCACCCGGGAGGTTCCAGCTCCTCGGGGCCAACCTGCAGCTTTCAGCTCTCACACAAGGCCCTGGAGGCAGATTCATGCTGGACACTGCCCAGGCAGAGCCTGGAGCTGCCAGCAAGGAAGGGACCAGAGTTCTGCTGCTGGTGTCACCTCCATTTGGGATCCCAGCTGAGGGACACAGCCCTGGTCCCCCAGCCGAGCTCAAACATCCCTCCAGCACAAGGAGTAAGACATTAAAGCAACATACCGTGCACATTTGGGAGCAGCTGGTCTCCCTGAACATCCCCCCAGCCTTGCCTGCCCCTCACAGCCAGGCTTTCCTCCTGCCCCACATTTTCAGAAGGCTCCAGCTTCCCTTGGACACTGCCCTTCCTCCACTTTTACCCCTTTTAGTTCAAAGTGCTCAGGTAAGGAGAGGAGCCCAACCTCAAATGCTGCTTTCAGTGAACAACCAGTCACCCCAGTCCCCAGAAAAGTCAAAAGGGGAATGCTGAGGAGGGTGGAGATAGTCCCATCTGTCACCAGGAGAGTTCCTAAGTGGGCATGGGAGAGGGGAGGGCAGTTAAGCAGCCACCTTCTTGAAAGGCTTCACAGATTCATTGCTCAGGCAGTGTCAGATAGGGAGGAAGCCCAGCCCTCTTCCTCCTGCTCTCTTGAAGAAAGAAACTCAGGAATTTGGCAGGAGGCCACAGCTCAAACAGAGGAGACCCTGTGCTGAGGCATGTTCAGAAAAGCAGCCTCTGCCTTGCCAGGATAAACGTTGCTTTTCCACCCCCTCCTCCAGGGAACAGAAGTTGTTGCCCCTCAACTCCAAGACCAGCCAAAGCTGTTTGGACAGGGTGGGATGCTGGGCTGTCCTCCTGCCACACACTCCCCTTGCCTGGACATTCCCACCTCCCTGGGATACTGGGAAGGAACCAAATCCATGTCCTCAGGTCAGAGCTTCCCTCCACCCCAGGTCTGGTCCCTGCACCCCTACAGTCCCCCCAAAAAAAACCCAGGGGCTGGCAGCAGTTTCCAGCTGCCCTCACTTTGCTTCAAGGCAGCACCAGGCAGGGCAAGAGGAGCAAAGCAGCTGCTGCAGGTTCCTGGGCACCCTCTGACCATCCAGGGCAACCCCGGGGTGGAGGCAGGACTGAGCTGCCTCTTCTCCAGGGAGGCTGTTAAAGGGTTAAACCAGCAAAGCAGCATCAAAGGGAGCTCGGGCAGAGGGGGCTGAGAACCAGAGATGGGTAGAGGTTGCTGCAGACTCCTTGGAATCTCAGGAATTTCCCATTATTATCCCACTTCCCTTCCAGCAGCCGGGAGGGTGAGAGCAGGACCCCGGGCTCAGACCAGCACCCTGTGCTGGGCAAGGCTCTGCCAGAGCTGGGAGCAGGTGCCCAGATCCCAGGAAGAAGGGTTTGGTTCAGGCCCCTGAGGAGGGCTCGGGGGGCTTCTCTCCAGCTCACACCCCCCAGGCTGGTTGGGCCACCCCCAGAGTGGGTTGAGAGACCTGCACAGCCCAAGAACTAGTCACTCTGCCTCAGACCACAGGTTTCCCCTCATCCTACTCCAGTGCTCCAGAAGTTCCCAGTTCCCCCTCAGAAGCTGGAGCTCCAGCAGTGCTGGTGCCCCCGTGCAGCTCCATAACCCACAGGTTTCTGTTGCTTTTCACAGTTGCTCCCCCCTTATTTCAGGTGCAATCCCAAGACACAACCATGACTTGTGCAAGGTTGGGGAGAACTTAGAGCAGCTTCCAGTGCCTGAAGGGGCTCCAGAAAAGCTGGGGAGGGACTTGGGACAAAGGCAGGGAGGGATGGGATGAGGAGGTGATGGTTAAAACTGGAAGAGGGAGATTTTGGTTGGACATGAGGAAATTCTTTGCTGTGAGGGTGGTGAGACCCTGGTTGCCCAGAGACCTGTGGCTGCCCTGTCCCTGCTCTGAGCAACCTGGGCTGCTGGGAGGTGTCCCTGCCCATGCAGGGGGGTTGGATCTAGATGATCTGTAAGGTCCCTCCAACCAAAACCATCCCATTATCCTATTATCAGCAATAACCAGCCTCCTAACAAGCTCCAGAAGTGGGAGGTGGCTGCTCAGGCTCCACATGCTCTGACATCTCCTTTCTACTTGTCTTGGACATTAATTCCCATTCACAAGGATGCTGTCAGGATTAAAATGTAAGTGCTCTGTGAATGGGCTGTGCCACACAAGCTCTGAGTACTGTTATGTTACCTAATGCTCTAAGAGCTGTTAATGTGTAAGAAGCAGATACAAAAATTCTCCCTGCAAAGCTGCTTTCCAGACATTAAGGAACATGTCAAGGAAGAACTGAGGTCCTTGGAGATGTGGGCTGAGCAGGGACTGGCATGGGCTACAAATGCAGCCCAGAGAGCTGTGCACAGTTAAGGGTCCTTCTTGATTAGTAGAAAGGAAAACAAAGGGTGTCAGGCAACAGCCCCAGCTTTTCTGAACCAGGAAAGCAAACAGGTGTGGCAGGAGCTGCTCTCCTGTCCCTGCTCCAGCTCCATTTCCCCTCCCTGCTCAGGAGAGAAGGATTTTACATTCAAGCTGAATTTCCCTTCAGGTGCATTTACCTTCCCAGCATCCACGGCAAGTGCCAGGAGATGGGATGAACAGACCACCAGCCCCTGGCAGCACCAGCTGCAGTGTCCTCTGTGTCCCCTGCTGTGTCACACCCCTCACCCCCTGCACAAAAGGCCACCTCTCTCCTCTGCCCAGAGTCCTGCACTCAGCTAAGCTGGAATAAACACCTTGTTATTTCCCCTTCTTTAAAGGGGATGCAAATTAAGATCAACCATGTAAACACCTGCCTGTATTTTGACTGCATTCACCTTCTGTCTGCCCAGGCTGGAGCTGCAACAACAGCCCAATCCAAGCTTGGAAAACACCATTTTAACACCTGCATGAATTGCCAGCCTGAGCCCTTCAGCCAGGGCTTTCCCAGAAAGGGAGAGAGAATTCCTGCAGGGGTCAGGGCTCCCCACAGCTCGTGTTTTGGGGTGTCAGGACCAGTGCTGAGGAGGGCCCAGCAGACCCCCAGGCAGCCCCCCAGCCCTGCAGCCCC